AGTCAGAAAAAGGCCGAAGTAGTCAGATTTAGTCCAAAAAGCGTTCCATAACTCGGAAATAACAGCAAAAATGAGAGAGCAATACTCATTGAGAGTGACTCTCATCAGTCCGAAGTAGTCAGATTTAGTCAGAAGAATTTTTTCTGGCAAAATCCTGAAAAGTGTCAAACTCAACTGAATTTAAATTAACGGAAATTAAAGAATACGCAAAAAGTGAGAATAATCTAAAAAGTAAAAAAGTGAATTAAAATTGGAATGAGGCAAAAAATAATTGATATAGTAAGTGTTTATTGTGCTTGTGCTTGTTTGAATGTGTTTTGCACATACATTTCCATTCTTATTTGACGTTAGCTTTGTTGATGCCATTCTTTGGACTAAAAATTTGATTTTTTGCGTTCCTTTACTTTTCCTATTATTCTCTTTTAGTGAGCGCATTTTGCTTACGCTCTGGCATTTTGACACTTTTCAGATTTTAGTCCAAAAAGATAAGGAATGAACCTAATATAACCAGTAAACAACCTTCGGTGAATTTGGCGACTGCCTTCCTCGGGGATGAATATGCCAGGGATGAAATTATTGGTACACACGCCTTCCAAACACGCAGGGTTGCTTTTAAGAAGCAAAAAATAATTAACTCCAAATAGTTTCAAAAAGTATCGTGTAAAACGAAATTAACTATGAGGTGAATGAAAATTTTCAACCCGGCCTGACGGTTTTGAAGAATTTTTTTGTTATAATTTTGTTACTAAGGCGTCTAATAAATGCATGGGTTTTAGTTCTAGAAGAATAAAAGTCAGTAAAGACAAGTCTTTTTTGTATAATTTGTGATTTTAATTGCTCAACTCCTTTTGCACCAGAGCAAATGTCAAAAATTTGGCACAGCAGAAATATAAAATTGTCTCGCCATAATAAGAAGTTTTTTCAACATGGAATTTTTCTACTAATTGATATGAAATTACTATCTCAACGCTCGGAGCGCTGCCACTGAGGGCCTTTGCCAACTGATAAAAAAGAGAAAATTTGGAAAGACCAAACAAAAATTTTGAGATTTCTCGTTGTGAATACGAATGCCATAGTTTTTACCTAGCTCGTGGGACTATGCAAAATTTTGACAGCTTGTAAATATGTATACACCTAAAGTTGTTGGCGGGAATAAAGAGTCAAAATCAAAATGGAGAAAAGAACAAAAAGCGTACGTTAGTTGTCAGTTATAAAATAAAGCCAATTTATTTGCGAAT